CTCTTCGAACTTATAGATGTTACGTTATCTGGCTAAGAATGTATCCTATTCGAAAAGTCTTTAAAAAGGATAAAGTGTACAATGGGCTCGGAATTAGATAGATTAAATGTGCATCGCTTTTAATTTATATGGACAATACAAGTCTTAAGCGGTCAATATAATTATATGTACTAAGACCGGCCTTTTTGTTTCCAACGCCTCGTTTCATTTCCTTGACTTCGAAGTGATGTTTACTCTAAGGCATCACTTTTGATATTGTTTAACTATTCGAAGAGTTTTCATCAAAGGGATTGATTGCGAATCTACTTCCAAACAGCTGAATACGAAGCAAACTAACTTCCTTCTCCGTACGAACAAACAAATCAATGTCAATGATGAACATCTTTGATATCTTGAATTTTCTGGCTTCTTTTGTGAAGAAAACCCTTGAAACTGACGGTATTTTCCGGACATTGCCGGTTCTTTACACGCCTGGACTTAAGAATGAATGACCAAAGGGTGGTAATAAAAGATYTAACATTGTTAAGTGGTTTTAATCTAGTAGCGAGGCCAACGGGGGCGACCAAAATTAGGTTGTTCCGTCATCTCCGGAAATTTCTGGGCATAAAATGCGAGAGCCGTTTGCAGRTAGAATCACTCGACGACGCTCTTGGATACAACACATCCTTCTAAGAAGCTCAAGAAGCCAACTATTAACCCGGCTCACAACGTCAGAACAGGTAATCATAGTAAATAGACGTGCTAATTCAATTGATGATAAATTATTTATTTCTAGTTAGAGCTGAGTAATCAGGCCGAAAAGACACTGTTCGATCGCAGTTGTAGTAGTTTTTAGGTCGATTATTTCGATCAAAGTTAGATAAAAAGTTATACTTGTTAACTAATTGAGGACTTAACGTGAGATAAAGGACCGAAAAATGTAAAAAAATATGTCATGAGATTTATGGAAAAGTACTAGCTGAAACAGACGTTATTCATTCTTTTATTTCTGCGACAATTGTTTCAATGAACAAGAAAAAGAAAGAGTAAGTAAGAATTAAAAAAGATTTTGTTATTTATTAACAATTATTTCAGTTTTAGGTTCTTTCACTGACTAGATTGCAAATCGTTATCTGAAAAAAATAACAACAACAACCATAACAAAAAAAAAAAAAAAAAAAAAANTAGGTTCTTTCACTGACTAGATTGCAAATCGTTAAAAGAAAAAAATAAAAAAAAAAACAAAAAAAAAAAAAAAAAAAAAAAAGAAGTAGTTTGTTAAAAACTTTTAAAGGATGCTGAAATTCGACTAATTAAATTCTAAAGGTGTGTAAATATAACCCACTAAATGCCGGTCGTCCTCAATTTGATCCTTAAAGCAGTGACTCTACACACTTGAAAACTTGTATCTAGCTAGTGTGCTAAGCAAATGGTGCATGGTTTGATCCTCAGTGACCTCTTACACTTGTTTTAAGGAGCAAGCGTAGCTCGGTTGTTAGTGTGTGCTGCCTGTTAAGCAACTAGGCCTATAGTTTGATACTCAGTGACCTCACACACTTGATTTAAGGAGCACGCGTAGCTCGGTCGTTAGTGTGTGCTGCCTGTTAAGCTACTAGACCCATAGTTTGATCTTCAGTGACCTCACACACTTGATTTAAGGAGCAAGTGTGGCTTGGTTGGTTAGTGTGCTGCCTGCTAAGTAACTAGGTTCATAGTTGGATCCTCCGTGACCTCACACACTTGTTTTAAGGAACAAGTTTGGCTTGGTTAGTTAGTATGCTGCCTGCCTGCTAAGCAAGAGGTCCATAGTTCGATCCTCCGTGACCTCACACGCTTGTTTTAAGGTCTTTTTTAAGTGTGCTGCGTGCCAAGCAGAAATTCTTAAGTTTGATTTTCTAATCACTCTATTGCTTTATTACTAAATTTAACCTAACTATTTTTTACTGTTTCTCTATCTTTTTCGAGCGAGAAAAAACCCAATATATTCCTGTTCAAGTTTCGAGGGTGTGACTTCTTTTCTTTCAGATATGGTTTCCTGTGGAATTTCGAAGATGACTGTGGCCTTCGTACTGTTTGTAGCAATAGCCTGTCTACTTGCGCCAGCAGATTGCCATCTTACAGTCGGTAGAAGTTTCAATCCTTTAGCCAAAAATAATCCCCAAAAATCAGCTTTTGAAGAAGAGCTATTCGAGAAAATTCCACCTGAACTAGAAAATGTTGGAGACCTTTACAGAAGAATGCTCAAAAGAAGAAACAGATTGACTAGAGCATGATTGATGGTAAGCTGGTTATTTTTCCTTTCATTTGTTCATTCGTTCATATTCTCGTTCATTAATTCATTCTTTTTCATTTATTTGCTTTTTAAGTCGTTTATTCATATTTTCTTTCAGTTTACCTTCTTCCATCCTTTTTCCTTGGTTTTTTTTTTTACTCTCAGTTAAATTTCAAACATACTTCTTAAAAATTTCTGCATTTTTTACTTGTGAACAGCGAATAGAGAACCAGACCAATTCAAAAATTCTTAGCATTTAGTATCTAATATTCATAACTTTATTTAACGGATCTCACAAGCTTTTACAGTTTAATATTGATTGTAAAAGTTTATAAGTGACTCAGTGGCCGCTGTTCTCTAGATATTTTGGCTCATATGTATTCAATATATTTCAATATTGAGACACTTTTTTTCGTTGTTTGAGGGAAAATTCATCAAGAGATTGAACCGACTTGTCGACCACTAATATTATCACTTACCTAAAGAGATGCCACAAAGAGATAAAACTAGACCCATATATGAAGGAAGTGAATAACGGAAAGGAATATATAGCTACGTTTTAGGGTGTTGGTATATACGTTCAGTACAGATAGTGGCCCACAAAACCTTTATATTAATGTAGTTTGCATTACTTTGAATCGATAGGTTTTGATGTCGATATTCGGGGACGTAGGAGATGATATTTGGCCAAAACAAATGCACTATTTATTGTTCACTTTAGTATTATTTATTATGCCCGAGGATGACGCTAAGGAAACTAAATCGAACATTAATGTTATCCTGGCTGATCAAACTTAGAGTAGGGCTAACACACAAATCGAATCTTGAAACAACCTCTGGGCTGATCAAAGTCAGGGCACGGCTAACTCACAGATTAAACCCTGAAACAACCTCTGGGCTGATCAAAGTTAGGGAATGGCTAACTCACAGATAGAACCCTGAAACAACCTCTGAGCTGATCAAAGT